TAAGATGATTTTTAACAATGAATTGGAATGGATGTTGAGCAGTCACGGGATATTTCAAGGTCCCAGTTTAGCATTTGCCTCAACGGACAAAGAAAAACCACACAAGGCTTCCTTCTAAATAATGAGTTTCCTGCCCAAGATCTGGATGCTTCATGAATGAGAAGCACACAAAGTGCGTGAGTCAACTTGCTTGGTGAATACAGTGGGTTTATTTATATCTCAGTAAGTGTGCACCACCATCATCAACACACTCTTATCCCATTTTGTATGACATTCCTCATGTTTATCTCCCCAATAATTTTAATTTTTGTTTATGATGATGCTTTTAACTTGTATTTGGAGGCTGAACAGCCCAAATCTAACCCAGCACACCAAATACCGTATTTACGCATGTATGGGCCGCGTGCGTGTATAGGCTGCAGCACAATTTTCAGACAGAAATTATAGAAAAAATAATTTTCTTGGAATATTATTTCAGGAGTAGAACACCCTGTATTACTAATTATGAATATAATTTTTTTTTTAAATGAAGTGTGATTTCGAATATTTCGAATATAAGCCGCACCCCAGTTTTCCTCTTGAATATTTGGCAAAAAATGTGCGGCCTATACATGCATAAATACGGTATCCTAAGATGTTCTGTTGTGTTCCTTACTTCCTTGAGGTAAATGCCAGAACAATGCCTCAAATTAGGCCATGACCACTTCCATCCACATCCTTTCCAATTTAACATTCATTAAGTCATCCTACTATCAGAAAGTTCCCGACTATAATTGTTGTAACTGCCTCAGTGAAAGATGAGAGGGGAGGCCAAGGTCACACTTCCACAAGTCTGTTGCATCAGTCTGCCACATGACACCACATTGTGAACATGCACTGTTTTTACACAAGTGCTTTTTCGACTTCATGTTTTGTTTTGTCTGCAATAGATGGTAAAATTGAACAATGTGTCTGCATCAGGTTTGGTGTGAAGCTCAGTAAATTTGCTACCGAAACCCTTGAAATGCTTTGTGAAGCTTTTGGAGAACATTCTTTAAGCTGAACAGCAGTTCTTGAATGGCATTCACATTTTAAGGCCGGTCAAATGTCAGCTGCAGATGACAAACGTTAAGGGCAACTAAGCACCAGCAAAACGCAACAAAATGTTGAAAAAATCTGAGAAGTCATCCATGAAGACCGTCGCTGAACAATCCATGAGCTCGCGGACACCGTTGGGATCAGTTATGGAGTTTGCCAGGAGCTTAACAGAAAATCTGAACATGCGCTACATTGCTGCAAAGTTTGTTTCCAAACTCCTGACAAATGATCAAAAGCAGCAGTACATAAACATGTCCTGAGCTATGAGAGAAGGCTAACAAGGACCGAACTTTTACTCATATCTCTAGGATCATAATGGGTGACAAAACCACAGAGTTTGTACATAACAACTACATGGTTATTGTTCCCCATCCTCCCTACTCACCAGGCTCAGCCCCCTGTGATTTTGCTTTGTTTCCAAAATTGAAAATGAACCTGAAGGGACGTTTTGAAACAGTGTCTGACACACAGAGGGAATTGCAAGCAGTACCTGACAGTATTAAGGAAAGTGACTTCCACAGTGCTTTCGAAGCGGGGAAAAAATGATGGGACAAGTGTATACATTCCCAAGGAGACTATTTTGAAAGAGATGGCCGCCAAAATTGAGTAAGTTAAGCCAGCATTTATTTTTTTACCTAGTCTGGGAACTTTCCAATAGCACCTCATACTATGTAGCATGAGCTCCTGATAGTGTTCCTACATAAACTACTTCTTTGTGATGCCCTCAGAGGAATTTGATCCATGCTTAACACATGTCTATAGCCTTCCATTATGGCACTCGTGCAATCCATCTAAAATAAGTTGAGCAGAATTCTACACAACATTGTGTTACCATTCTCTGTCCAGCCTTGATGTATTCAGGATGTTTTATGAAGCGGAAGTGGACAAGTGCTTTGTCACCTGTGCGCAGACACTCTTGTGACATGGACAGAATGGATGCTGTCTGACGGATACTCCCACAATGTACTATGAGAGACAAGATCCATATTATCATAACCTGCACATTTTCAGTAAGTCATGTGGTAATATTATGATTCAGTGGCAAAAAATACTCCAAGCTGACATCCTCACTACCATCTGTGAGCTGACTTGTCTAGAACATGTGGGAGCCTCTAGGTCTCACATCTCTATGAGCCTCCATGGCCTGTTACATGGACAGCTTTACCTTTTTTACATATTAAAAGGGTAAAATACACATTCAGGAACATTTTAGAACCAACTTCTTTTAACATTTATGGCAGCAAATACCTTAAGCACATTATACAAGACTGTATTTCGGAAATATGTGTACTCTATCAGAGCAGGCACTTCCACGCTTGTTTCGATTACTAAAACTGAAATTACAAGATTAATAATGTTTAGCTGATTCCTAACATCAAATATAAAACGTCTATCAAATAATAAAAGAATATCATGTAACACATGGACCCAAAAAACAATGCAAAACAACAATTTGCAAATTTTTATCCTTAGGTTTTCACAGTTAAGAGCTCGGTACATAACATCTTTCAGGTGTAAGCCATACGGAATGTTGAAGGTTCAAAATTCTGTACAGATTTTATATAAATTCCAACATTTAGCACTGAAACACAGACAATTACAAAGAGAACAACACAAAATCCAAGTAATAAATATGAATTTCTTTATACGCACTAAGAGAAAACAAAAAGGGACAGAATTAGGAATACAGTTTTTAAGACATTCATATCCAAAATATGGTACCGGAGTTAGAAGAGAAACAAATACAGTGGTTTGGCCAAGTTAAGAGAATGGATAGAACAAGGTTACTGAGAAAGTACTCAAAAGTCAGATGAATAAGAGATCAATTGGAAGTCCGAGAACAAAATACTTCAACCAGGTACTAGAAGATATCAAGAGGACAGGAAAGACCTGGCAAGAAACTGAAATCCAGGAAGAAAGGACGGACTAGACGTCCAGCCCATTGACCTTTATTAAATGGAAATGGAGGGGAAAGGGGGGGGAGGATGAGACTGATATTAGCACCAAACTGTCAGTGTATATGAATAACTCTATGTTCTGAAAACACAGTAACTAAAATGATAATAAGAAATATGAATTTCATGCCACACTTTCCGATAGAAATCCCAAATACCACTGAGACCTCAATTTATGCTCCAAATGAAACAATTCCTTTAAGAATGGCCAAAAATCCCATTCTTGCTTAGAATAGTAAATTAGTGAGGAAGGATGTGACTTACCCATGGCTTGGTAACGAGAACTAATTGTTGTTGGATGATGGAGAACTAAAATTTCGCCTTCAAATTCCCAGCATGCACTAGGATTTACTGCTGGAGATACCATCACCATTCCCTTTCTAATTTGTGACCTCTTGATCTGAAAGAAGAATGAGTAAAGGTCATACACAAACACATTCATATATGCTAGAAGAATTTCAGAAGCACTGAACAGGGTCACCAGGGAATGTCACAATGATTACCATTAATTCGCATAAAGATTGCTTTAGCATTAAGTGAACAGGTAAAGGTAAAGAAGGTAAAGCTATCCCTGTAATAAGCCATGGAGGCTCCCACATTTTCTAGGCAGCTGGCTCACAGATGGTGGTGAGGTTCTCAGCCTTATGTGTCAAACTCTCATTAACCCCAGGGAGATTCTTGGTCCTCATTTCTGTCGAGGATGAGTCGACCCCAGGCCCACAGGCCAACCAAAAGTTTTGCATCACCACCATATTTGTAACTGGTAAAACAGGATAATGTAGATAAATGATACAAACTCCGTCCTAAGTGCAAACAATATACATTTATATGTCTTTGATCTTGTTCTTTCTACACTACATGTTTCGGCCTCTATCGGCCATCATCAGGTGTATACTCTTAACGTTGCTGCCACACTGAACCCAGTCTAAAACTTAACATTTAAAAACACAATGTCACGTTCTTCGTATTATCAACATCTACATCGTTGATATGTGTCTGGTATGTAGATTATGTTGCACACGTCAAACCCGATATTCTTGTAGTAGCACTCTAAAAATCTTTAGTTATGATGTTTTTAAAA